ATTGTACGCGCAAGACACGCCTGTTGACCCACCTGCATAAGAGTCCTCACGTTGAAAGCCCCCATATTGAGAGGTTGACGAGGCTTCAGAATCTGCACTTTATTTACAGGAGAACTAGTTCCCGTGCTATTTGGCAAGGACATTTGGCGGATGATGACCAAGTTGTCTAAGGGAATATCACGGGTCGGAAGTAGGGGTAAAGGGATAGGGTTGGGTACAGAAGGCAAACAGTTAAACAAAGGTTGGGATATCTGAACAGTAGTCCATTTATCACCACCCACCCCGTCGATGCAATGGGCAGCGCGGTTCTGACTATCCTGCACGACGACCGATGCAGTATGAAATTATTTTTTGTTTGTGTGTTCACTGGAACTTTATGGACGGGTACTGTCAGAATGTCCAGCCACTAAGCAGGAGAACGATTAGGGTTCTCAACCAAAGCCTTTAGTTTTGACAAAAAATTAACCAAAAGGCAGCGGTTAAGATGGATTAGAGGCCCATTAACTTGTATCAATTATTCCTCCAACAAGTTTTTATCGACTGAGATGCCGACTCAAGTCGAACCCCCAACCTGGAGGACCAGGAGGCTGGACTTCGTCTGACCTCTACCCATTGACTTTCCAGGCATGACTAGATCTTTAGCTCGGCAAAAGCCTTCCTGTGTAGCTCGTTGGGTCACAGAGGTGCACAAGCCATCACACCACGTCAAGGTGCAGTCTCGTCGTGATGGTACCTGTGAAGTCCCGAGTTTGAACCCCAGGAGGGGTCGATGAATTCACACAGCTGATGAAACTTAAACGGCATGAAACAGCTGTACAGTGCCTCTTAATGTTTCGGTTCACGCTTCATTCGCCCTATACAAGATGAATATCCCGATAAAAGGCTATTACACATTAGGTTTACAATTGATTTATCATAGTAATTCATTTTCTCTCTTCATTCGCATAACCAGCTCGGTCTTCTAAATTTTTATCTATTCTGGTGTTTTTAATATACTTCATTAGTTCATAAGTTTATGGGCAAAAATACTGAACATGATACTAAAACCTTTCTTTCTGGTAAACTAAATTGACCTAGAACTTTCTTCATCAAGCAGTTAAGGTCATCTCATCAACTCGGAGGTCGTGATATTAAATAAAACCACCATTTTCCAACTTCTCTGCTTCTGTGTATAATCCCAATTAGATCATGACCGAATGCAATCAACTCGATTTATAAAATTTGCTCATGAAATCGTACGCAATAATGGGAAGAAGAGAGCCTGGTAATGTTGTTAGTACCCTTTGAACAAACCGGTCACAATAAAGTTAAAGATGTTTTTCAGCCTATCAAGGTAAAGGAAATGGCATAATTGAAACAACAACTAAGAGTGATTAAAAACTAGAAGCAAGTTTGATCATGTCATAGGAAGCCTAGCCTTCTTCTGAGAATTCTCGAGGGATCAGCCGACACCGTGAGAACGTTTCGGCATTTTCTCGAGGGTCATAGATGTATGATCGTCAATGAACAAAACCGGAAACCAGTGCTGCCAACCTCTCTATTAGCACCCTCATAACCTCGAGTTTGGACTAGTGACTAGACTATATTCAACCCAATATATACGGCGTTTAAATTCACATTTGGCTGACAATACCAACAGAGACTCGTACCATTTGCAACAGTCTTTTACCTGCAATCTTTGAGATACGCATCGTGGAACTAGGTTTGGTGATAGTTTAGCGAGGCGGAACAGATCATAAGATTATTAGACAGAAATTGAATGATTACATTTATTGATCAATACGATGGTTGCACAATAAAACAAAAATCGTGAAAATGTAAACCGTTGTGTTCGCATTTCCCCTAATGATCATCATCCTCACCATCAGTCACAGTACACCTACTACAAAATTATCACACAGGAAGAAAAAGTGGTAAATTACTGATCGAACTCTACTTTGACTACCATGTATAGAAACAAAATAAGAATAATTTCTCAAAACGCATGGATGAGTGACTTCCTTGAAATCATATACAACAAACGGAAATATCACCATGTTTTTCTGTTTCTCGATTTTGCAAGCCTGATTATCGAAATTGGGAATCTTAAAATCAACTGTGCTCATACGTGCACTCTCAAACGTTTTGAAATCATTGAGAAATATTGACCGATTTCGCGTTTTCTTTATTTTTGTCCGTTCCAACAAACAGTGAATGTTTATTATTTACCCCAGCTCTGTTTCGTTTTTACAACTATTAATCATGCGTTTATATGCGCGGTGGCAACCGCCGCACATATTGAATTGCTGAAGCAATTGAAATGGTAATGTGATACTGCAATTCTATCAGCTGATGAACACTAATGATAAATAAAACCATCAAAAATTACTATGGTCTTCAAAAGTCACCATCTTGTAGTATGTTCGAATACATAAAGCAAATTCAACGACTGATGATGTTTCTGGGCGATGAAATTTTATCTCAGCAAACCTATTATAAAAACAAATCAAAAACAAGATATTATCGCCCTTTTTGTTTGCATAAATGAAGAGATAATCATAATTTCCGGTTACTTTAAGCTTGATCACCCACGTTTTAGCTGGCACTCATTACTTTTGACTTCGTGTTTTGTCAATATCATTTTCTTCTCGGACCTGTATGACATTTACCATGTGATATAGCAAAAACTGTATTATAATCACAGTGATTCAGTATTTTTCTGGATTACGCTTCTTATTAAGATCACTAGCGGATATTTTAGATGTTCAGAAGTGACCACAAATCAATACTTTGGCTACTAATTGTTCATCAAAATAACGTTTTCTCTAATACGGCCACATTGGCTATTACGAAAGCAGGATAATGATAGATCGTTGGTGTTCGAACACCGCTGTCTATGCACCATTGCACGAATCTGGTGGGGAAACTGGAAAAGCAATGCCGATTTTGGAGGCAGAGCTTTAGTTAGTCGCAGTCGCCCTCCGGAGCAAGTGGTGGACCTCCGATGGTTGCGTTGTTTGAGTCATTGGATTCGCACGTTCCCAAAAGATTATTAAGGCGCGTGATATTTAACGAAGCATGTGTCGGGCGTAAAAATGCAGAGGGGACAAACTCAGGCCTGGCGTAAGGATTTAAAAACCCTGCCCAGGAGAATCGGTCATTTAGGTTGCATATGTAACCTAATATTGGCCTCCTGAATGAGGACCCCGAGATCATGGCAATCAAGGGTTAGAGACTCTGAGTGATACGGATGTGTCGTTAACAGCCGTTTACCACCACCAGTGGTGCTCTTGTATCAAATCATCATTCGTGCAACCTTCGTTTTTATGAATGCTCTATTTTCATTCTGATACTTATAAAAACATTCTAACTTTCACTTTACTCTTTCATCTGAATTGGCAGCCGGTCCCGACTACTGTCGACGGCAGCCTAAACACAAGGAACTGGAAACGCGATTGGCAAGAGCCACAGTTCTTCTTGCGAGAGCTGAACTGAACTGGTGATCTGATTTGACCTGACTTGAATGATTCAAATATTTACACCAACTGGCAACACCCTTGATGTGGGGCAATAATGGAAATCAACTACGAAATGCGATCACAATCAAAGAATCGGTCGCATAGTCTGTTTTAATACGAATGGCACTAGTTAAATAATCTGACAAGAGGAAATATCTCCTCCAAGAATTTATTATCCCAGGAAACACGAGCGTCACCGTTTAGTCACCGAAAACGCAACGTTTTGTCACGCGAGAGTCACCGATTAGTCACCAATTAGTACCCATCAAAACAAATCGGTAACTATCGAAAAAAAATTTGGCAGCTAATCGTAGTAATTTTCCAATCTTATTTTCAGGGGAAAAGCACTAGCCTTCTTTCACTGAACTACGTAGGTCAAATTATTTCGGATTCATAACCCTTTAAAACCCAGAGACCGATCGACGTCAATGTAATATTACGTTCATCGATATGAGCATCACAGAATTGATAAACAACAAGATGAAATCCAAAAGCATATTATCCTGTATTTTATTATAAAAATTTTATATCCATATAGCTTGAGAATAAATCTCACTTACCAAACCCGTTTTGATCAAATGTTTCCGCATGCGTGCGGAACGGAAAAAGTGAACCAGGTGTCTATCAGCTAAACTGTTATATGTTTCTAGTGGGCTATCGAATATTAAATTCCGAAGTAATGTAAAGTACCTCGCTTCGCTTATCCACGGCATTTTCCTACAGATTCCCTAATTTCGGAAAATTTCAAAGTCGTTGTCAGGACGCTAGAGCATTTCATTCAGCGATTTAAACAAATTTTGAGGCATTGATGTCTTTACATGATATGTGTGTGAGGCTGTTTCTACTGAAATTGTCGAAAATCGTCTCTGTTTTTTCATTGTTTAGGAAAGATATAAAACAGTTACATTCAGTTCCTGATGTTCGTCATGGATCTGCCACGGGACATCAGGAACCATGTTTGCGGACGACTTCAAGGTCTCTCAAGTAAATGTATATCAGGACCTGCGGATCATTATACGGTGATCCGAAATGTGGGATCTTTCATTCAACCTAACCAAATGTCAGCTTGTAACAGCAAAAGTTGAATTTGGCATTCAACAGGGAATCCAGGTCAAGAGAGATTGAGAGAAGTTTAGGACCTGCGATTCATTAAACCGCATGACTTCAAACCCTCACAATAATGTCAGAGGGCAGCCAACATATCTCGAAGGGAACTGTTTCGTCTACACCCCACGATTACGTGTGAGAGACACAGATTCTCGTCCCTCCGTACAAAGGATATTGTGTTCAGGCATGGGCATCCTACTTTCGGAAAGACATCGAATTGTAGTGTAAAAGATACTACATATACGAATAATAATGAAATAAACGGTACAAGGAACGGACTCACAGAAGGATTGTCCGCTGGTCGATTGATCCTGTTCCTGTGATGTATGGTTCCGGTAAATGAGGTGTAGAGGAGCTGAAATGGATGACTGCGACAGTTAACGGACCGCTTGACGATAACTGATAATGCTTGCCTAATTACTCAGCAACACTCGGAGAACACGTGCGTATTTACGAA